AGGTTTTTAAAATTTGACAGATCCTGGACTCAATCTTACACATGGACTTTACTGGGCGTACCAAAATTATTTAAACTCTGGAACATAGCTGATCTTTATCGCCGGCCAGTGAGTCGGGAAATCCCGGAAATAATCAGGAATTAGAAAAGTAACCGGGAATTTGACCGGAGAAAAGAAACAAATCAATAAAGCCTAATAGGGGAAAGGGATGTAATATCGGCCTAAATGCCCTTTATTTGGGCCCGTACATAAATTCAGCAATCGACTACATTTTCAATAGCAACCAAAAATATCTATTAGCACCGTCCCAATGCCGTGTTCATCTAGATAAAATTGATAAATAGCAGATTTTTAGCGATGGGCCCAATCTAAGATCCATAGGCTAACATTATGGCCATTTACCCTATATGGTTGTAAAGTTGCATTTTTATTTATCATGAATGTACAGGTTTATTATAACTTATATTTATTTATTTTTTTGCACCAACTGCCATGATCTCTGAGTCATGAAGATTTCAACTTATGTGTTACTTTTTCCATATTTTTTGTATTAATCTATTCAAAATGAACAGTTTTTGTTTTTCAATAATTACCATGGAATATTTCGAGGTACAAATAATCTTGGGATTTTACGTAATCCTACAAGATAATACCATTGGAACTCTTCTCGTTCCTAGGCATTATCTTAGGAATTTCCTTAAAATTCCACTTAGAATTTCCTCGGAATCCTCCTTAGAAATCCTTTCATACTATCATGAGAATGCAATCTGTTTAAAAATATTCTCAAAATTTTAATTAAAACTCCTGTGAAATCCTAGAAGACCATAATTGAAAACTTTAATCAGAAATGTTCTTGAGTCTATGTATAAATCTATCGTCAAAATTATATTGAAATCATTCTTAAAATTCACAAGCTATTCGCTTCACAAAAATTTCACTATCACGTAGCGGTTCCCTATGAGGCTCTTTTCACAACCTTTATGACATTATTCTAAGAATTACTTAGGAATTCATTTCGGAACTTCCTTTCTTCTTCCCAGAATTTTTTTGGAATTCAACTCAGAATTCCTTAGGACATTCTTTGAATTATCTTGGCATCCTGGTCAGATTTTCCTTAGAATGTACACCACAATTTTGTAATTATTCTTCTCAGCATCCCAGGAATTCACTATGAAGTCTGACAACGACCCGGCTTTCCGACAGAAACAACGTAAAAAACCCAAATATCTAATTACTGTATTATCGTAACTATTACCCAGGAGGGCCTCTAACGCCCTCTTCTATGAAATAACCGGAGATGAATCAGCCTGCGGGTAAAATCTCGATAAAGAAAAAAAAAACATGAAGTCCTCTACACAATTCTTTCAGGATTCTGAATTTCATAGGTCTTCATTTCAGAATAATTTTGGGATTATTTCCCTTAGGATGTTTACCAGAATTTCGTAATTATTATTCTCAGCGACCCAGGAATTTACCTTTAAGATTAAGGATTTATTCTCAGATTTTTTTTGGAATTTTAATTGTAATCAAGACTACGTTGAATTGTTCTCCAAGATTTTTTCTACATTAAAAAAAAAAAAATTCGATTTGTTTGATTGAGCCTTTCAAGAAAAAAAATATACACTGTAAAAAATTATATTTTTTTTTACAAAAAAATTAAAATTATCAAAAAAAAAAAATTACACAAATTGCCATTCTTAGATAAATTAAAACCTACTTACACTGTGCATTTGCTGGGCAAATCATAAACAAAAAAGTTATGAATTATTAAAAAAATAAATATTTTCCAACATACCACCTACAGTTATCGAATATCTTTAAAATATTAAAACAGCAAAAAAGGTAATCTTCCATTTAATTCCACTTAATTTTGGTATCCATGACAGATACGTATTTCGACTACAATGTGCAGTCTTCATCAGTGTCATTCCCCCTAAAGAACTTATCAAAATCTAACCCCCTTAAGTACTCATCTCCTAGGTAAAAAAAGTCAAGATCATAGGTATAAAAATGAAACTACAATGTGTTGAATCGGAACCTACCTAACTAATAAAAACCAAAGATTTAAGTAAGCTAAAGGAGAAAAATCTATACAACTCTCTAATAAGGAAAATTTACCCTACGAGTATCTCGAAAATAACAACTTTGGGCAATTTAAGCATTATGAGCTTTTTGTTGTAAATTCAATGTGTTTTAATATTAACACTATATTAAAGATATATTTTGGAAAATACTTATTTTTTCAATAATTCATAACTTTTTTGTTTATGATTTGCCCAGCAAATGCACAGTGTCAGTAGGTATTACTTTATCTAAACTACAAAATAAATAAATAATAAAAATATTTTAAAAAAATATGCAATTTGAGTAATTTTATTTTTTTTTGTTGATAATTTTGATGTTTTTGTAATAGAAAATTATATTTTTTTACAGTGTATATTTTTTTCTTGGAAGGCACAATACTTGTCCACAACTTCTTCTAAGACACCATCTCGATCAAACAAATCGTTCGCGATATATATTTTTCTATTGATGCGTATCATTTTCGCATAAGCCCTTTTCAAGTGTTAGTCATGTGCAAAACTAGGGAACCATATATGTAAAATGGCATGTTGGGCAATAACAAACAACTGTGCAAAGTTTCATCATAATCGTAAAAGGTCGATCCGAAACGATTTGCGAATCTGTGTGGAACTGCTCATATGTTCCTTGCTTCGAAATCTTTGTATCATGTTCACGACTTCTAAAACAATGTATTAATTTAAATGTCAGTTGATGCATTTTCGAACAATTTAAAAGCAGTTTTTTTTTCGACTCATCGTTTCAGATTGCCAAAAGCTCGCGTCATTTAATTTCTTTTGCTATTTTACACAAAATGATTATCTAACCTAGGGTGTTGCAAATATTTCTAAATACTGTTCTAAAATGTAAGTTTAACCAAACACCCGTCCGAGATCTCAGCGTGTTATAGTACAAACAATTAGCTATAAATCGGACTGATTCAGATTACTGAGTTTTTGAAGTTATCCGTACTTGATTTTTTTTTTACTTGAGTTATAGAAGCAATTTCTCTCTAATCGTATATAATTTAATAAATTCTTAAAAGTGCAATTTAATTTAACTTTTAATAAAAACAATTGCTGTGTGGATAGCAAGTTGGTACAATCGTTATTCGTTCAAGTTCATAATTATCTAAGCTTTGCGGTCACTAAAGCAATCAGCTCTAGGATCTGATTTAATACATTATTCTGGATTACTAAAAAAGACTAGATATTGTTTATCTCTATGAAGCTCATTCCACATCCTTGAAGTCAGAAATACATTTAAAAATGTATAAATGTGTCTTTAATAATATAACAATCATCATTCCTAGTACACCTCCACCCACTTTCTTCCGTTTGTTTGTCTACCGAACGCAGCATTGTTACACCAACGAGAAAACTGGTCCCGGTTGATCTACTCTCTGTGCTGTGTTTCATAGAGTTTATCCCAGCAGAAACACAACACAGACGACTGCTTGCTGCAAAGGTTTCCAGCAAAAATTTTACACCAAACGACAAAGTCAGATATCACTAGTGCGTGGCTTGCCTTACAGTGGGAGACAAATACAAATACTGTCGGAACTATCTATCTAAAATAAAAGGCGATGGCACACGGGCAAACAAAACAAGAAAACAGTCGCAAAACAAAAGCCCAACTCTACGACATACGTTTGCAGAAGGGCTGTGCACATTGGGGGCGAAGTCGGTCATAATTGAAATTATGTTGCATGAATTAATATTTTGTAATATTTTTTTTCAGATTCGCTCATAGATTTGAGAGTCAAATGCAAAATTTCTTGATAATCCGACAAGAACTGAATTTTCCTAGAAGTTCAATAAATATGAATAGTTAATTGCAATGGCATAATTGTTGCTGATTCTTCACGATGAAAACTATCCCTTTATATAATAAAATGACCTTAAATCCGTTATAAGATTTGTTTAACTAAGTTTCAACTGTTCAAATTGAAAATAATGGTTAGACATCTATAACTAAAATGCGCCCAATTGCGTCGACGTTTATAAATATCCATTCCAAATTTGCTCAAGTTTGTGCTAAAATTGATAATTTGCATGAACATCGGTTTTTACGCTTACATTTAGGATCCACCCTAGGGTGTCGATTTTGTCTTGATCTAGACCGCTAAAAATGACCTACACAACGATCCAGAAAAAGATGTCATTATTGTTTTCAACTTTACATGATATTGACTGTAAAAATCCCTTAATAAAAATTTATTTTGAACGCAAAATTTGGAATCCGTAGCCTCAAATTACATTAAAAGCATGTTGATTACCATTTTTAAAAAAAATAACATTTTGACCGGATTTTCCATGGAATCGCCCCACTGTGTTCGGTGGGTGGAGATGAGCGCGTGAGATGCGGAAAATGCGACACTAGCACAGTTTTCTTTTCTTTTTTTTTCTACTAGGTCTTTACATCTCCAATTGTTGGCTGTTCTAATCACTGCTAGCTAAGGTCGAGCATTCATGGGGGACGGGTGGCGTCGAGCAACAGTCAGAATACAGCGAGGATCAGTCTCATGTGTCACAACAAAACGAAGACAAACGTGCAATGGGACGGTCAAATTTGGACCTGGGGGAACATGGGGGGGGGGGATACCACATCGAACTGAACGAGCAACATATAAGAAAAAAACAGCATAACTTTTCTTTTCTTTTCATACAAGACATACGAGACGTGAAGAACAAACAGATATGCAGTTGCAATAAAGTATGTTACGGACACAACGAAAGATAAAAAAAGAAACACTGTTGCTGGTTATAATCCTATTTGGTATTATTGTTTGGGATCTGGTTCTATAAAGATACAACTGATAAAAACAGCGAACGGGACGAAAAAAGGGTTAATTTGATTGAAGAAAAGGAAGCAACATTCGTATGCTGTTTGATTTGATATTATGTTGGCCAGTTGATACTTTCTGGTGATGCACTCACATTTGCTTATGACACACAACGCATACCCAGTCAGTGGTGCGAGTGGAGAATTCGCGACACCCCTTACACACTCGCAGCCTGCAGGAACGACACGGTGCTCCCCGGTTGATGATCCTTCCCAGCTCGACGCCACAACGCGAGCAGGAACGGGTCGATTCGATAAAGGTCGGTCGATCTAGGGAGCCGCCTACCATTGCCTTCACGTTGCCCTTCTTCCGCAAATTGAACAACTCGGCCCGGAGAAGCCTTCAGGCGGTTGGTTAATTTGTTTCAATTTTTTTTTTCGCAGTCGATCGATCAGACATATGGTGGGTGTGGTGGTGGTGGTGGTGGGTGGTTGTTGCAAAGGGTGTTTGTTTAGATTGATTTTGTTCGGTGCAATGGTGCATGTTTTATTTATTGTTTCATGTGTGATTGGTTCGATAGATAATGTTGTGTTTGGTTTGCGAACAGAGAGCAGGAAAAGAGAAAAGAGAAAAGATTAGAGGTAATTTTCTTTAGAATACTGATTAACTGAAGCATGTCTGAATTTCGCTAACGGTAGGCAAAATATAAAGTACTATTACTCTATGTGCATTGCATCTTATGTACAAAGTGAATGTATCTCCGACGACATAGTTACATAGAGAGTGAGTGGAGCAACAGGAGAGATACGTACTAGTTAGAGCACTCTGTGATATGTGTGTGACCTACTGCCATTCACTTCTACCGGAGAGCTTGCACACCACCGTTACGTGTCAATCAAACTAACTCTAGGCGCTTTGGATGTATTTATTGTGTACATGTAGCTATGGAGCTCTACGTGTGTAAAATGACGACAAAAGTATACTTGCTGTTGTGGAATAAAAAATAAATAAACTCCTTCTCTGCGGACAGACGGGTGGCTCTGAATGCGGGACTCTCGTGGGAAGTGAAAACTAATTTTTCTCCGTATCATTACTAGTCACATGCTAAATTGTCGGTTCGACTGGTTTAGTGTTGCCGTAAATCTACAATCTCCCCTTTCTTAATGGAGGTGGCTTGTTAATTTAGGCTGCCTCTGTCCCGATGGCTGAAAGGGTTCTTGTTTCAATGTGAATAATTACATGCCGTATATTTTCTGTTGGGATGGCTTTTTCCTGTGATGATTTCCTAGGATGATTCAACTCTTTGAGTCAAACCCGCTTCATGAAAAGCTCCATAGGTGCCATATATTAATTATGCTACGTTAAATTGAGGAAACATTTACCTCCCCCCCCCCCCCTTTCGTCATAATTTTCCTACACCTATGCATTGCTTGTCACAAAATTTTACACCCCCCCACCCAAAGTGTAACATAATATATGCATCGCCCCAAAGCTACGGGTAGATACATGACCTTTAGGTTTTGTCATCGTTCGTCTTTCAGTTATGGTGTAGTGATTTGTACTGGTGAGCTTGTAGGATTACTTAGACTTACTGCCCATCCTAATTGATGTACGTAATCGTACCTATTCCAGAGAGGTTTACTTTAGAGAATGCTTGTAACACATGTTTGAGATTATCTGATATTACTCATCCGAAAATTTCTAAATCAAAACACAGTTTTATGTCAGATAGATGCTAGTTTTAGTTTAGTGACGTGTGTCACGTCACGAAGTGTGTTTCTTCTAGTGATGACTATATTGATATCTATTGATTGGAAAAATGACTGGTACCCTTACTTTATAACCTTAGATTGGTTTTCCATGCCCTGCTTTTAGGAAATGAGCACCAAGCATGTAAGACACTCCAAATGTCCGAAGTAACAATCAAGTACCCATCAGGCATGGAAAATCATTTGCATTCATTTCGTGCATTCATTTACATTCATTTGCCCCTAACTTTTTTCATCAACAGAATTCCGCAAAATGATGTATGGAGCTTTTGTAGATTTTGTTATTAGCTACAACTTTTGTTAAGAACTCAAATCCGTATCTCTTATGCATGACGAACCAGAGCAAACAGAATCTACTACTGTTTTTCAGTGAATGTATTTTACATTCACTGAACAACAGTAACGAGTTCTGCCCGCTCTAATTCGTGATGCATAAGAGATAAAGATTTGAGTTACAGGTAAAAGTTGTAGCTAATAACAAAACCTACTAAAGCTTTATACATCTTTTTGTGAAATGCTGTTGATGAAAAAAGTTAGAGGCAAATGAATGTACATGAATGCATGAAATGAATGCAAATGATTGTCCATGTCTGGTACCCACAATTTCAAACTGTATATTGGACAATTTTTGACCTACGACCTCAATCTTCTTAAATAAATTATAGCGAATTTGGATGGATACAGTTTGTATCGATTAACTCGATTTGTTTACATTTGTTACTTTTAGGACCTTTTGTAAAGTTACGCGAGAAATCAATTTTCTGATAATCTCCATCACTGGACACTGGCGGCGTGGCATCTATGGGATATGATGATGGAAAGTCATACCTTAGGGTAGGGGTGATTAAAAAATGGCGTCGCTCTTGCAGAGTATTAGCAGGGCTGGTAGCAGGGCACTTTTTAGTGACTTGGTCACTATTTTGAAGCCAGAAAACTATTGTAAATCATGAAAACTTTCCAAATGTATTTGTCTGTGATAGATTTTCAAAACTCTTCCAAGGGTGATTAAGAACTTTAAAAAATCCAAAGTAGATTTTAAGAGAATTTTTAAGGATTCTAGTGATGACACCAGGATATATCAGAGAAGAATACAAAAGTACAGACTACGAAAGTCTCATGTAAAATTAAGTGCTCCGATTTCTTCATCTCCGATTAAATCTTAAATCTTAAGCCTATATCTATAGTTAAACTTGACTTACCACATACGTGCGTCGCTTTTGATTATTGTTTAAATTATTAGAGACGCAAAATTCAGCTCCGAAACAATTTTGGAAATAATTCCAACATAATTGAGAGTGAATTTAACGAGAGATCTGAGAAGAATTCTGTGATGATTGGATGAGGATTCTATGTCCAATTCTAAGTGACTTTGATCTATTATTTTCATCGACTTTCCAACGGCGCCGGTGGTGTAGTGGTAAGCGTGATTACCTCTCACCCCAGCAGGCCTGGGTTCAATCCCAGTCGGCGCCGCCGGGATGTTCTGAGGCATAACATCTCTGATCACGCCTTCCTTCGGATGGGAAGTAAAGCCGTTGGTCCCCGGTTCATGAGTTGATGGGTCGATAGGTAGGGTCCAGGTGTGGGAGCTGCCTTCCTGGCACGTCAGTAGCATTGGTGCTCAGCACGGAAAACAAGATCGACGGAAAAAACAAACCAAAGGAAAAAATCGACTTTCCGAATGAATTGTGCTTTCGAATGATTTGTGCTTAATTGATAGCAGACTTAAGCAATGCCGACGCGTAAATACTTTGAAGTACCTGTTCAACATGTTCAATAAAAAAGTTCTATTACTAAAAACTTCAGATAAGGCCTTCGAACTTCATGCAAGTTCTACAAAATTCGGGAAAGTCTTACAAGTTTTAGGAAAATCCTGTGAACTACTGTGACGGTCAAGAAATCTCTCCGAACCTTCAGAGAAGTTCTACAAATTTCAGAGAAGTCTTACGAACTACAGGGAAGTCCTTTAATCTTTGAGTAATAACTACGAATTTTACAGAATTTTCTACAGATTTAATGTAACTTCTACGGCATTTAGACATTGTTTAAAACTTAAGGATAATCCTATGACACTTATGGATTTTTCCGAGCTTCAGAGAAGTCTTCAATACTCTTGGGAAGTCCTCTGAACTTAACATAGTTCTCTAAGCTCAAAAAAGTTCCTAGAACTTCCGAGAAGTCGATTGAACTACAGGTAGTCCTACGAAATTCATGGGAGCTCTCCAAACTATTTTCCAAAAAATTAAGGAAAGATCCACAAACTTTTGGAAACCCCTTCGATATGCCTTATGAACTTCAGGGAAGCTCTTCTAAATTTAGGGTCCTCATATATTCAGTTGAGTCCTTCAAACTTCAGGGAAGTCCTCAGATCTTCGAGAAAGTTCTTCGAACTTGAAGGAAGTCTTACGAACTTCTGAGAATTTCTACGAACTTCGTGGTACTTCTACGATATTATAGAAATTCCTATGAATTTAAAAAAAAACTTCGAACTTCAGGGAAGTCCTAAGATCTTAAAAAAGTCCTTCGAACTTCGGGGAAGTCCCATGAAATTCAGGCAATATAAACTTCAATGAACCCTTCAGGAAAGACCTTCTTGACGCTTCAGGGAAGTTCTACGAACTTTAGGGAGTTTCTATGATCTTCAGCAGTCAGTCTTTTTTTTTGGATATATTGATTTGGTGAGTACGTTCCAGTTGAAGATTGTTCTCTCTAAACAACCCTTTTTTGAATACATTTCATTAATCAAACATTATTATATGCTGGGTTTGGGGGGCAGCCTAAGGGTTTCAAAGGATTTGTAGACTGGACAAGGGTTCGTGGATTTGCCAGTCCCTTGTCACGTGTTAATAGACGTACATCTTGTCGTTTGTCTTCCACTGGTCTTCAATGAAGTTGATTCACCCTGCTGCAACAAACCATCAGGCAGAACGTTACAACCAGTGAAGTATCTGCAGTCATAGGTAATCCTTGCACTGATGGTGGGTTCTATTCACATCACATCACACATCACTTCAGCAGTCAGTTTTTTTTTAATAATAAGAGTTATTAAACCAGTGTTGTTTATGAAATCTTTTAATCATTTGATTTTGAAATCATGTTGTAATCAAAATTCCGTTAAATAAGATCCTTAATCGTTGGAAAATTTAAACACACTGGAAATCCGTAAAATTGTTAGAAGCAAAGGTTTGTTTAAAGAGTCCTCATTCATATCACACTTCGCAATTTCACCTTGAGATAAACTAGTCCGTTTGCTAAAAATCTCAATAAAGTTAAAAAAATCGCAGTTTCAAAAACAGAAATCTCAAGATTAAGGGGCTTATAGATCTCTAAATTTCAGACATTAGATAGGGATCCGCGCTAGTCCGTCGTATCTCAGCTTTCCTTCGTCATACACTCCTAAAATCGCTCATTTTACGGGTTATCGCAAATGTTTCAGTGTCAATCGTAATTAATCTGGTAAGCAAAGATGTTTTTGCAAAAACATTAATGAAAACGCTTTGCTATTATGGTTTTAGCACATCGAACGGAAATAGGCGCCATGATACGACGAAGTAGCGCGGCTCCTTACTAGCTTCTTTACAGCAAACAATGAGATAAAGATTTCACGGGCATTCACAAGAACCTTAATACC